TGAGAGAAAATGGACTAGAATGGGGTAATCATACTTCACTGTTTTGTACCAAACGACTAAAATTATGATCAGAAAAGTTGCCATTCACATTTCATTCATCTTAGAGGAAATCTATAAGCTCACTCATCTGCATTGCAATTAGAATCAGCAGTGCAACACAGTCATTTGTATTGCCTGTAGTAAACAAGCACCAAAACTTGACACAGAACACATAGGCAACAAAGTGCTTTATACAGTTTTTTTTTTTTTGGTGCACAAAAGAGTTTGGGCTTTGTATGAATACAGTTGAACTACTGGCATCACATGAAATGTTTTGGGTTTTATTTCTGGACTATGAACATTTCAAGATTGTTGTGGTCCATGAAGGATGAGGGAGATCTTGCACTTCATCTAGGGCTGCACAATATATTGTGTCGGCATCAATATCGCAATAGTCACATCATGGCTATAGTCTATGTTGAGTCTGGATTATAATTGATCATTTCGCAAGTGTTTTTTAAGCCCTGTGACTGTGTGAGGGTTTAAAATAAGAAACTGTACTGTTTGTAACTTTGACAAATTAACAAAGATTAATTTTATTGATTACTGTTTATAAAAGGAAGAATATTCAGTATCATTCTACATTTGATTACTCAATTACTGCATACCTGAATAGAGTTTGACTCCCCGGTAAACAATACAATGCTGTTTTTTTTTTTTTTCTTTATTGAAGTTATGTATGCTTGTAGAACAGGGGTCTTAAACTCCCGGCCTGCGGGCCATTTGCAGCATTTTTGACGTCCAACGTACTGGACATTAAAAGTACTGCAATATATATTCAGGCTACTTTCGTTTTTTTCTCAGTGTGCAGTTGAGAGTAACGCGCATGCATATTTTTTCTGAGGCTGATTTGGACGTTAAAACATGTCCGCAAGTGCTCTATTTTTACTAAAGCTTTATTTTGTAAATATTCTAGGATCACTTGATTATAATCAGTTTTATACTACCCGTATCGTGTTGTATAAACACCTCTTCATGGCTTACATGTTATGATGGTGGTGTAAATAATATCATTAATAAGATCATCTTGATAATAATAGACTCAAATAGTCTCATTAATTGATTTTCCTCGTATGCATAATGAAATTTGTATACAAAAATGTACATTAGTAAAATCTAACTGTTGGCTGAACTGAACGTGTTAAAAGTAAATGTGAATATAGACAAATTTAGTTTGTCTATAAAGTCAGTAAAGTCAATAAAGTTACGCAAAATGCATTCTGCTGTCTTACGCTCTGTTAAACTTTTGGTTAAGCAACAATTGATTAGGACAAAATATTTATTATTACCATGCCTATTATAAAATTGTAGCATTTTCATTTTCATTTCAATTTAAACTACTGCAATATGTACAACAAGAAACAAAAAGGAGCTTTGATACTCTGGAGAAGAATGCATCAATTACTTCAGGTTTCCGCTTTATTATTTGTGCTTAAATGTTAAACCGGCTCCTCTATGAATTGTGAGTCACTGAACCAAACCTCTAATAATAGGTTCAAACGGAAAATTTGTATGTGCTATTACTTGTGCAATCTCTTTATCTTCGGTGTTTATGTGTGTTTCTCACCGGTCATTTGAGGCATTCAGCTCAAGAACAGCATCTTTCATGGCTGGGCCAAGCAGAGCTCTAGCCAAACACAAAATGCTGGTGGTTTTCCCAGTTCCAGGAGGACCCTGAAAACAAATGCAACTGTTATTTACATGCACAAGGACAAATCATTTGTGCAATCAGACTGCAACCTGACAGCATTGTTTACTTACAGCAATGATGATGTTGGGCACATTTCCTTCTCTTGCAAACACCTGCGACAAAAACGACACAAATGAAGAAACATGTCAGCACCTCCACAAAACTTTCACCACAGTAACTTAAGTTACAGTACTGACCTCCAGTCTGCTAACAGTTTCCTCATTTCCAACTATTTCATTTAACTTCAGAGGTCTGTACTTTTCAACCCTGCAAGTAATATAGCATTTACACCAGAATTAATGTTCGACATGAGCTTAGCAATTCCGCTGCAGCTGCTGTGCTAACTTTAGCCACATGAATCCCGTCCAAATACTACAAAACACACACAAAAGCGTACCATGGTAGTTCATATGCAGTCGTTGTGGGTTTTGGTGCAGTTTCGTCCTTTTTAGGCGGTCCGTCAGCTTGAGTTTGTTCACTGTCTGTCTCTTTCATTTCAACATCCATGTTGCCCGTCAGCAGCGCGTATTCCCGCCACGACAGGAACAAAACAGAACAGAATTGACGCCACTTCCGGCAACGGGCGCGCGACTTTTTCATCACAACTAACGTTACTGTAAACTAGAAAGGAAAATATAGGTAATATTAACTGGAAGAGTATAGTCTTTTTACCTCAGAGATTACTAATGTAAGTACAATAAAATTCATGAAGTGTAGTATAAAATGATACATAGGTGCTATCCTACAAAGCTTTCTTTTTATTTTTACAAAGGTTTATTTCTTAAGATTTTGATGTAAACGGTTCCTTTTGCGGTTACCAAACTGTTCTGTTTCACCTTTTTTGTAATTGTGAATCTACCAAAAGAATTTTGTAAACATGAATTGGGTATTGTGGTATAATCACCGATGTTATTGAAATATGAAACGTTATTTTAGAATATAATCATCAGAATGAACTTCCAGATGTATTTATTTAATCCTATTATATTTTTGGCTAAATATTTTATACACAAATGTAATCGTTGTAAGCGTAAACTGTTTTTATTTTCTTCAGATTTTTCTTGAAGATCTAAATCGTTTTATGTCTTTAATTTCTGAATCGACCATTAAGAAAGCTGTAAAAACTGTAAATGTTTAAAAGATACATTTCTCTCTTGCTCCCTGGCATGTATTGTGATATAATGTAAATGTATATGTTTATATAGCTACTGTATATGGTATAACGGATCTAACAAGGATCGTGTATGAACAAGGATCGTATTTTGCTAGGGAAGAATCAAGAATAATAGCGTGCCTATTTTAAATGTATTTTAAATGATATATATCTTTTATGAATATTTTTGTTACAAATGTTTTTGTTACATTGTTTGTAAACTACAAACACACACATATTGTTTTATACTGTCTATTTTAAGAGAATTACTTTTCTGAATATATTTTAGACCAAACTGTCACATTGCTGCACAAAGCTAAAATAGATTTAACACAATATGAGTAGATATTATAAATACACACACATAATTGTAATGGTTTTACGCTGTAAAAAAAAAAAAAAAAACTGGCTTGCTGAATTAAAGTGAAGTCTGTTGAATCTCCTAACTTTCTGAGCACGTTGTCCAACATGAAGATTTATAATGGATCAGATTATCTCTTTGCATTCAAATCTAGGACAATAATCCCTAAAGAGACTGAAAACATGAAGATAATAGCTTAGATACTAGCAGCTCTGAAAACACAATGTCCGACCCAAAAACAAGTGCTAAAGATACCAATCGCAACAAGATCTGCATAAATAAAGGATGTGGAGTTCAGTACATCCAAAAATTGCACTGCCTGCATGGCTGATGTTTTCTGTGGTGTGCAAGGGATATTTTCATTTATTAAACAATAAGCATCAACAGCATTTACTTAAATATAATGTTATAGTAAGAACCAATCTTTCTACAAGAAATGTTACACAAACGTCTTGAAAAGTATTTTACACAAAATAGCTTTTTTTAAATTTAATTATCATTTTAAGTGCTTTTGAGAAGCATTAGCAACTTTTATTTGGCAAAATTATATTTATTTTAAGTTTTATAAGATTAAGTTTAGTAAATAAAAATGTACACACACAGTCACACACGCTCAAAATCACAAAATGTAAATAGGTTGTAACAAAATAGAAACATTTTCCCAGAGATGGGTTGCGGCTGGAAGGGCATCTGCTGCATAAAAACTTGCTGTATAAGTTCGCGGTTCATTCCACTGTGGCGACCCCGGATTAATAAAGATATTAAGCCGACAAGAAAATGAAAGAATGAATGAATAGAAAAATGTGAAGAGCTCTCAGAGAGAACATTATAAATCCAAAGTGATGAAATGTCAAAAAAAAAGAATAAAATCTGCCAACTTTTCTTTACTTACTTATGATACATTTTTATCATCACATACATGTCACATACATGACAGAACAATGTGAAAAACAACCTCTGTACATGTCTGATGACTGCATCTGACCCAGGTTGATAAATTCTTAACCCAAGAAAGAAATTTGCTATATATAGTTATTGAACACTAAATATAAAATTGTGTAAGTCAAGATATCAGACGTTAGTCATACAAACACACTAAAAACATGTAATAACTCCAAGCTAATTTTTATTTCTAAATTTCTAGATTACCCTGTAAGCAGTAAAACAGCATAAACTTAGCAAAAACAGCAACTTGGCACATAATCAGACTAGAGCCTTTTTGACAGAATAAAGACTGTCTAACCCTTTCATCAAAGTTATATAAGATAGTCGGCCCATCAGATGGTCAAAGCTGTTTGAATTCCCAGCCTTCACAGCATCTGTTGGTAGACCAGAGGTTTCCCATTTCAGTTGGTTTTAGGTATGTGCCAGACTGACATGACCCTGCTGGTTTATTAAACATGATGTGTCCATTACTTATTAGAGTTTTCCTCTGTCACTGTGTATCATAAAGCCTGGAGATCTGCAGACTGGAATAACTAAAAATACAATAATACCATGACATTAATGAGACAACAGAACAGTGTTTAGATTCTGGTCACATTTTACAGTAAGGTTCAATTAGTTCATGTTAGTTAATATATTTTGCTAACATGATCTAAAGATGAAAAATTTAGTACAGTATATTGAATTATCAATATTTACTTATGCATTATTAAAATCCTGTTGTGTTATTTGTACATACTTAGCACTTAACTAATATTTTAGTATAATAAATACATAATTTGCAGTTTTTAACAGTGTGTGGAGTAGCTTATTTAACAGAAAAATGACCTTCAGAAAGCTGCTGGACAACCTGACGTTTCTCACATACGTCATCTATATGTAGATCTTTATCTATATAAGTAAGGCTGAGAGATGTCATTTTATGCACCACACTGAAAACATGAGGGGTCTGATTGCTCTTCTCCTGGTGGCTCTGTGCCTCGAGGGCCTCAATGCAGCATGTCCTGATCATGCCACACTGAAAGACGACCATGGCAGCAAACTCTGTGCCCAGATGTTTGAGCACAGCAGCTACTACTATGACGAGAGCTGCACTGGCAGTTTTCTGAATGTGTATCCTGATGAAGACACCCCCATCATGCCAAAGACCTGGGAGAACCATGTATCCTCTTTGGTGGTGAGACGCGGATGCTCACTGACAGTATGGTCCAAATCCAAGAAGAAGGGAAACAAAAGGAAGTTTCTTGCTGGTGTTGTCTACCACCTGAAAGAAGTGAAGAGAGGCCTGTTCGGAAACTGGAATGACTTGGCACATAATCAGACTAGAGCCTTTTTGACAGAATAAAGACTGTCTAACCCTTTCATCAAAGTTATATAAGATAGTCGGCCCATCAGATGGTCAAAGCTGTTTGAATTCCCAGCCTTCACAGCATCTGTTGGTAGACCAGAGGTTTCCCATTTCAGTTGGTTTTAGGTATGTGCCAGACTGACATGACCCTGCTGGTTTATTAAACATGATGTGTCCATTACTTATTAGAGTTTTCCTCTGTCACTGTGTATCATAAAGCCTGGAGATCTGCAGACTGGAATAACTAAAAATACAATAATACCATGACATTAATGAGACAACAGAACAGTGTTTAGATTCTGGTCACATTTTACAGTAAGGTTCAATTAGTTCATGTTAGTTAATATATTTTGCTAACATGATCTAAAGATGAAAAATTTAGTACAGTATATTGAATTATCAATATTTACTTATGCATTATTAAAATCCTGTTGTGTTTGTTAACATTAGTTAATACAATGTGAGTTAACAGGGAAAAACAATGAACGACTGCATTTTCATAAACTAATGTTAAAAAGATGAATAAATACTGTGATAAATGAATCGTTCAGTGTTTGTTAATGTTAGTTAATGCAGTTATTTATTGTTATTCCTTGTTAGATCACAGTGCATTAGCAAATGGGACCTTATTGTAAATAGAACCCAGATTTTCAGTTTAAATTCTTCTCAAGTATTTACACATTGCTGTTGTCTTGATTGTATTAGTTCTTTTCCAAAATAAAAAATATATAAAATTTCTCCATATAGTGGACTTCTACTGTGCACACTAATAAGTAGGAATGACAGTTAGTGAAACAAGCTAATTTTCTTAAAAGGCTTTTTACCTCTGATGACATGTACGTACAAAGGGAGAATGTCAATCAAAGAGTTTCTGCATAGTTTTTAGGAAATGTGATTATATGATATATATATATATATATATATATATATATATATATATATATATATATATATATATATATATATATATATATATATATATATATATAAAGTGATTATATAATATATAATAATATTGTAAAAGTGATTATACAATACAATTTATATATATTTTTTACTATTAGATCTCCTTCCACATAATTATCAACTACTGCATATCATCCTCAGCTGAAAAAATAATATACAAACACCCAAGCAGCAATGTGACTGATAATGCGTGCATCAGAATTAATAAAAAGCTGCGGGGTCATAAAACTTCCTGCAGGGGTACAAATATGTTGATACCATAAAGCTAAATATTTCAACATCAAACACATTAAATGGCCAACAAAGTTTTTAGCATATTTCATTTATCTCAGATATGAGGATCATTTATCCAAAAATTTTGAATCAGAATTTAAACATTTGCTTTTTTATGTGAATGTTACTTTTAATAAAATATAATATATAATAAAATATTGGATAATAATTTACTCGATTATTGTCATGCTCACCATATATTTTGTGTATGTTGTGCCCCTAGTTTTCCTTTGCTTAATTTCTGAACAAATGTTTTATTAATGTTACTGGAAGTACCTTAATTCATAACTTTATTACAAGTTCCCTGTTGGTATGTGTCTGTTTATTTGTTTCAAACTAAAATAAAAATCCAAAAGTTCTAAGACATGCACTTTTCCCCACTTCTATTTATTGAATGAAAGTCAGTCATATGGCTGGTTTCCATAAGTTGTTACATGAGAGTCTGCCTCTGAAGACATGTGGCCATGCACCTGTGTGTTAGTTTAAAATACCTGCATGTTCAATTATAAGCAGAGCATACAAAAAGATACCGTCTTTTGAATGATGCATACATTTTATTTAGAAGGTACTGGAAAAAACAGTTTGATCGGATATATTTGAAAGAAATTGCCAAAGATATTTTGAATATATAGATAGATATATTATATAAATTTATTTGTACATACTTAGCACTTAACTAATATTTTAGTATAATAAATACATAATTTGCAGTTTTTAACAGTGTGTGGAGTAGCTTATTTAACAGAAAAATGACCTTCAGAAAGCTGCTGGACAACCTGACGTTTCTCACATACGTCATCTATATGTAGATCTTTATCTATATAAGTAAGGCTGAGAGATGTCATTTTATGCACCACACTGAAAACATGAGGGGTCTGATTGCTCTTCTCCTGGTGGCTCTGTGCCTCGAGGGCCTCAACGCAGCATGTCCTGATCATGCCACACTGAAAGACGACCATGGCAGCAAACTCTGTGCCCAGATGTTTGAGCACAGCAGCTACTACTATGACGAGAGCTGCACTGGCAGTTTTCTGAATGTGTATCCTGATGAAGACACCCCCATCATGCCAAAGACCTGGGAGAACCATGTATCCTCTTTGGTGGTGAGACGCGGATGCTCACTGACAGTATGGTCCAAATCCAAGAAGAAGGGAAACAAAAGGAAGTTTCTTGCTGGTGTTGTCTACCACCTGAAAGAAGTGAAGAGAGGCCTGTTCGGAAACTGGAATGACGCCATCTCTGGATTTTACTGCACATGCTAGACCTAAAAACAGAGACTCAAAAACATAAATGTATGATTTCAGGGACACAAGAGAACAGCTGTAATTCTGTGTTTTCAGACACAATTATAATTTCAGCTTACTATATTTCTGTTTAATTAATTAAATTAAACATCACATGTTTGCAAGAATGTAAAGCAGAAATATTCAAGACCTGGTGCATAATTCCTTTTTATTTCAATAAATGCACTGAAGCAACATGTCAAACGTGATTACCAAGTTTTAAAAGGGAACCTCTTAAGATAGATAAAAAACCAGAATTGCAGTGAGTTTGAATGTATTTATTTGACAGGGTCATGCACATTACACAACAATATATTGACCTTAAAAAGGATGTTTTATGGTGTCTTCAGTTCTATTCATTTTGATCCCTGCTTTCATTTCAATAAAGCTTATGTGAAAATGTAAATTTTAAGTTAACATTAAATAAAATCTCCACATCTAAGAGTCTAATTAATTGTCTTGAAAAATTAAATAGAAAAAAACATACAAAAACCCAAATTACCACTGTTTATGGAATTATTTATACTACAAAACAAGGTATAACTAGTGGTCGAAAGAGTACAGAAAAATCATACTCAAGTAAAAGTACCATTACTTGTCTAAAAATGTAGTGCAAGTAGAGTAAAAGTATCTGTAAATATTACTCAAGAGTAGTGAGTATTACGCTGTTAAAAGCTGATGCATTTACATGTAATTTGTGCATGTGTGTGTAAACGTAACATTCTGTAGTGCATCTAGTTATTGCCCAGCACGCATACAAAGTCATAGGATGTTAATATAAGATTAGATTTAGGTTTATGTCAGGTGACCAAAATTCAATGCCTAACCAGCGCCTAAGGTCAACGTTATTTTGATGTCTTTTTTAGGTTGTTGAAAAGTGACCAAAATCTATTGTCGAGCCAACATTTTAATAAAAAATCATATTGATGTCAAATACAGACATTTATTCATCTGGTATGGCAACCAAAATCCAACATCTGAAGACGTCATAGTGGTAATGTCCACAAAATTTCAAGCGGTAACATCATTAGACGTTGATATTTGGTTGGTTTTAGGTTGGACGTTGGACATTGACGTTGGCCTGACGTTGAGTTCTAACGTCAACCTGACTTTCATTTTCAAACAAAATGCAACGTCCCCACAACGCTGTGGTACAATGTCAGTCTGACACCATGTTGACGTTTTGTGCCTGCTGGATGTTTAAGGCCATTTCAGTCACGGTTATTATACAGTAAACATCCGTCATCAGTCACATACATCTAAACAGTCTCTGAGTCAATGCGTGTAAAGATTTTGAACATCTTCTTGGACATTTTTTAATGCTTTCAAACAGTTTGCTGCAATTATAAATAAGCCATGTCTTGAGGATGTTCATTATGATGCAATTTACATAATATATGCAATTTGATTGGACAGAAACCACAGGACTGATTTTTCTAATCCCCATAGACAAGAAAAAATAAAGTAGTGGAGTAAAAGTACACATACTGCAATAAAAATGTACTGAAGGGACAGTAAAAGCACACATTTTTAAAGCTACTCAGTAAATTACAATTCCTGTGAAAAACTACTCAATTACAGTCATTTGAGTATTTGTAATTAGTTACTTTACAACGCTGGGTATAACACAAATACATTGTCCTGTTTTCGAGTAAAAACCTTTTACAAAATACAATTTCAGTCTTTCGGCTTTAGAATGTTTATTTAAATTCATTGTCTTTCCTTTTTTTGAGAGGGGTCGGGATGCAGACCTGCAGTGCAATCTGGGCTGCATCCAATGCTTTTTAATGGGCTCACCTAACCCCACCCCTAACCCTACCCCTACCAGTGACGTCACTCGCTCCATTGAGTGCATTGTGTCTGACAGTGCATCGCTGAGTGATGCAGTCTCAGCTTGCATCATAAAGGCTGCATCCAGATACTATTAAATTTTTTACTAATTATGCAGTACATTTACTGTGAGGTGCTAAGTTCTATCTATGTCAACTGCTGAAATATGTCTTTTTACACACTACACTGCAAACATAAAGAATCTGATCGCTCTTCTCCTGGTGGCTCTTTGCTCCGAGGGCCTCTATGTAGAATGTTCAGAACAAGATACACTGAAAGACAACTATGGCAGTAAATTCTTCTCACGTTGTCCAACAGGCACCTCTGAAGGTCATGTTAAGCCGCATCTGCCCCTGTGTCTGTTTTTTTCCAAAGTACAAAAAAAAAAAAAAATTTGCAAGACACATTTTTCCCACTTATGTTGTACATTTGATTATTTATTGACTGAAAGTCACTGCATATATCAGATTTCCACAAGTTATTACATAATTGTTTGCCCTGTTAGACATGGGGTGGCCATGTGCCCACATTAGTTAAAATGACCTACACTTTGAATTATAAACAGCATATAGTAATTTGAATGTTATGTTGGAATTTATGTACATGCATGCTATAATTAAAACCCATATTTATGCTCAGAAACAAATTTTTTGAAATTACCAAATATTTTATTTAACAGAAAATGACCTTCAGAGAGTCTGTTGGACAACCTGACATTTCTCACACACGTCATTTGAATGGAGAAGTTCTATCTATAAAAGTAAGGCTGAGAGATGTCATTTTACTCACCAAACTGAAAACATGAGGGGTCTGATTGCTCTTCTCCTGGTGGCTCTGTGCCTCGAAGGTCTCAACGCAGCATGTCCTGATCAAGCCACACTGAAAGACGACTATGACAGCAAACTCTGTGCCCAGATGTTTGAGCACAGCAGCTACTACTATGACGAGAGCTGCACTGGCAGTTTTCTGAATGTGTATCCTAATGAAGACACCCCCATCATCCCAAAGGTGTGGGACGACCGCATTTCCTCTCTGGTAGTGAGACGCGGCTGCTCGCTGACGGTGTGGTCCAAATCCAAGAAGGAGGGAGACAAGAAGAAGTTTTCTGCTGGGGCCGCCTACCACCTGAAGGAGTATAAGAGAGGCCTGTTTGGAACCTGGAATGATGCCATCTCTGGATACTACTGCACATGCTAGACCTGAAGACAGAGACTCAAAAGATATAAATCTATAACACCAGTGATACAAGAGAACAGCTGTAACCTTGTGTTTTCAAATACAATTATAAATTCAGCTCACTGTATTTCTGTTTAATGACTGCAAATGAATTAAACATCACATGTTTGCAAGAACATGATGCAGAAATATTTAAGACCTGGAGCATGATTCCTTTTTAATGCTTTAAATGCATTGACTAAATCTTATTATTTAAGCAACATACGTGACTGTGAAGATTAAAAAGTAAACCTTTAAAGTTCGATCAATCAAAAAAAAAACAAAAAAAAAAACAACATCAGTGGAATATTAAAGAGATTCTTAACAATTTTTTTTATTTAACTGCTGCTTTTATTTCAGTAAACCTTATTTGAACATGTAAATATAAAAATAAATAAACTGCACAACACTGTGGGGAACTTTAGGTGTCAGACAAATCATCTAAAAAGTGCTCTAAAAGTGACATTTAGCTCACCTGAAAAATTAAACCAAAAGTGGTCCCACTTTAAATTAAGTGGCAATTAACTACTAGGTACTTGCATCAAAAATCGAGCACAGTGTAATTTTTGTGTTCATATTGTAAATAAAAACACTTTTAGTGCTATTGAATTGAGATACAGGTAAGGTTTTGCAGTATTAGTATATGTTTAAGAGTGGGTTAAGGTGTAAGCGGTGGGTCAATAGTGTAATTATAAATACAATTACAGAAATTAATTACAAGTGTACTTGCAAACTATTTTAAAAATATAATTAGAATGTTAAAACAAGTATGTACACAATAAGTGCATTGTACCAAGTGATTAATTTAAATGTAAGTAGTTAAGGAAACTTACAATGAAGTGGGACCCTGAAAACAACCCAACCCAAGGAAAAACTATTTTCCACAAACACACATGCACTTACGTGAACATTATGTAGATTACATGTTTATTATACTACTATACTGTACTAGATTACATGTTTACTGTATTATTATTACTATAAACATTATGACATACGCTTATTTTGGTGCTTCCTTCGGTTACTCCACTATGCAACCATAGCTTTTAGCCACAAGCTGATGTTATCAGGTGGTTCCCAATCTTCCTTGAGTGTTTTTACACACTACACTGAAAACATGAAGGATCTGATCGCTCTTCTCCTGGTGGTTTTGTGCTTCGAGGGCCTTTATGCAGAATGTTCTAAACAAGCCACACTGAAAGACGACTATGGCAGCAAACTCTGCCCAGGTTGTGCAACAGGCACCTCTGAAGGTCCCTAACTGTTAGGCCACATCTGCCCCTGTCTCTGCCCCCTGTTTCTGATGTTACCACAACACTCTTCAGTTGGCAGGACAACAGTGGTGGCAAAGCCACTGCCCATCTGCTCATGGCTTGCAACTTTCCTCCTCGCTCTTACTCCATAATCAGCAAGAAGCTCGTTCTGCTTCTTCTCCCATCCTGCGAGCAGCGTGTTTCTTGCTTCTCTCCCATGCCTAAATCTGACATCAGTTACCATTCTATCTTTGCAGGAAAGCCTCTACACCCTACCTCGACAGGAGAGAGCTATGCCTGCCAACCTTTGATTTTACACTCTGAAATAATGGCGTGCACTTCAAGAAATAAGATAAGATCATTTTTAAAGCAAATTGGCAAACTATTCTAGCTTCTTTGTACCATCAAATAATTAATTAATTAATAAAAAAAAACTAATAAAACAATCCTATTTTTTCAGTTCTCAAGTAAAAACAATAAATTAAGTAAATTAAACAGACTATTACATTTTACAAAAAAACTATTTCAGTCTTGCCTTTTCTTTGTAAGTATACGTGAAGTTCACTAGTTTTCTAGTAAATACTAGACCAGGGGTGCCCAAACTTGGTCCTGGAGGGTCGGTGTCCAGCAGGTTTTAGCTCCAACTTGCCTCTACACACCTGCATAGATGTTTCAAGAAAGCCTAGCAAGAGCTTGATTAGGTAGCCCAGGTCTGTCTGATTGGGATTGGAAATAAATTTTGCAGGACACTCCAGGACTGAGTTTGGGCACCCCTGTACTAGACCATTACTTTCTATAGATTTAGTGAGAATCTGTGCAATGCCACATGAAATTTCTATTATCATTACCATCATCATCATTGTCTTCCTATTTCCTGGGGCCGGACCATGGGGGCAGCAGTCTCAGCAGCTTATTCTGAGCCTCCTCTTGGTGGGACAAGCCTTCAACACCTCCTGAGGTAGGCACCAAGGAGGCATTCAAAACAGATACCTGAGCCTCAACTGGATTTTCTCGATGTAGAGGTGCATTAGCTCTATTTCGAATTCCTCCAGGGTGATGGGAGCTTCTCACCCTATCTCTAGGGTGTACCATGCCACCCTATGAAGGAAGCTCATTTTGGCCACTTGTATCCAAGATCTTGTGCTTTCGGTCAAGACCCAAAGCTCATGACCATACGCGTGATTTGGAACGTAGATTGACCAGTAAATTGTGAGCATTGCATTTTGGCACAGCTCCTTCCTTACCACAATGGACTAATTCTTTCCCTTACTCATAAACAAAACCCCCACAATACTCGAACTCCTCCACATGGGGAAATAACTTTCTGCCTACCTGGAGATGGCAAGTCAGCTTTTTCTGGTCGAGCACCATGGCCCCAGACTTGGAAGTGCTGATTCTCATCTCTGTTATATCACATTTGCCAACAAACCTTCCTAGTGCATGCTAAAGTCCATGTCCAATAAAGCCAACAGGACAACATCATTTGCAAATAGCAGATATATCATGTGGTCCCTGAACCAGACTGCCTCCAGCTCTAGGTTGCACTTAGAAATTCTGCTCATAAAAATAATGAACAGAACTGGTGACATAGGGCAGATTTGCCAAAACCAACATACACTGGGAACATTAGTGACTGATTGCTGGCAATGTGAACCAAATAGCCCTTAACAGAGAACCTCCGAACCACATATTCTCAGAGCAACACCCACAGAATGCTATGAATGACATGGCCAAATGCCTTCTACAAGTTTATGAAGCACATGTAGATGGACTGGTTGGGTATGTTTTCCTGGTGCATATACACGGATAGACAAACTTGTGCTCAAATAAAGTGTTTGTTAAAGACAAATAATGAGTAGCACAGAAATGCTACAACAAAACACCAATCAGATTCAGATTAGGGAGACCTTTTTCCAAATCATGCCTCTCCAGGCAACACTGAAGCTTCTCTTGTGGGCATTGAGGTTCTCCAGCAGAACGAATTCCAGTTCAGGTCTCCAAAAAAAAGGCGCTCTGGCCTGCTGTTTGGCCACAGAAGGATGTTCCCATGCATGCTCCATAAGGAAAGCCCAAGGCTGTAGGGTCACCAGCTGTTCCTGGGTGACACCATACTGCATGATGTCACAGTTCTCAATACTTAGTCTGACCTGTCATCTAGGACCTTTTAGCCTTGTGAGAGCCTACAAGTATTTTTCTGGCATTTTTCTATCGGTTAAAGGCATTTTTCTTTCCTTTTTTCTATAATATTTTTGGAACTTTCACATATTTAAGAAATGCATTCATTAATTAATTAATTCATTCATTCATTTTCTTTTTGGCTTAGTGCCTTTATTAATCTGGGGTCGCCACAGCAGAATGAACTGCCAGCTTATGTTTTTACACAGCAGATGCCCTTCCAGCTGCAACCCATCACTGGGAAACATCCATACACACTTATTCACACAGTACTAACAATTTTAGCTTACCCAATTCACCTATACCACGTCTTTGGACATGTGGGGAAATCCACGTAACATGTTACTCTTTTATCTAAGACATGCACCTTAACACCTTTCTAACTTTTGTTGACAGAAAGTCATATGGCTAATTTCGACAAGTTGTTTTTTAAAAGTGCCCTTTAAGATTGATCATTTTATCATTACATATAAAAATAAATGTATTCATGCAATTGTGTGTGTGTGTGTGTGTGTGTGTGTGTGTGTTACATTTACACAATTACATGAATACATTTACTTTTATATGTTTAATACATAATTATCATTTTACTTTGTTAAAAACAATTGTATGTTTTTTTGAACAACAGTGTTTGTGTAGCAGCTGATTTAGCAGAAAATGACCTTCAGAGAGTCTGTTGGACAACCTGACATTTCTCACACACGTCATTTGAATGGAGAAGTTCTATCTATATAAGTCAGGCTGAAAGTTGTCTTTTAACTCACCAAGCTGAAAACATGAGGGGTCTAATTGCTCTTCTCCTGGTGGCTCTGTGCCTCGAGGGCCTCAATGCAGCGTGTCCTGATCATGCCACACTGAAAGACGACTATGGCAGCAAACTCTGTGCCCAGATGTTTGAGCACAGCAGCTACTACTATGACGAGAGCTGCACTGGCAGTTTTCTGTATGTGTATCCTGATGAAGACACCCCCATCATGCCATGGGTCTGGGAGAACCGAATTTCCTCTCTGCTGGTGGGACGTGGCTGCTCGCTGACGGTGTGGTCCAAATCCAAGAAGAAGGGAGACAAGAAGAAGTTTTCTGCTGGAGCTGCCTACCACCTGAAGGAGTATAAGAGAGGCCTGTTCGGAAACTGGAATGACGCCATCTCTGGATACTACTGCACATGCTAGACCTGAAGACAGAGACTCAAAAGACATTAATGTATAAGGTCAATAATGTAGAAGATCAGCTTTAACCTTGTGTTTTTGGAAATAATTTTAAATTCAGCTTAATGTAATTCTGCTTAATGACTGAATAAAATATCACAGGTGAAGCGAAATTATTCCATACCTGGTGCATGATTATTTTTAACTGCATTAAATGCATTGAATAAATCTTATTTTAAAAGTATCACAAGTGTCTGTCAAGATTTAAAAGTGACAACAACAACAACAAACTTTTAATTTTAAAAACAACATGTAAATAAAGTGCTCAGCATAACTGAGTACATCCTATTCATAAAATAAATATTTTTTATACATTTCTCAGTGAATATAGACAATGTATTTTGGTGCATTTAAACAAAACAGATTTATTAAACAGATATATTTATTAAAATAATATTTTCGTCACCAAACATTTGTAGAAATTGAAAGATAATACAATTAAATTTAACAAAAATACTGCAAAAATAAATTATAACATACAAATATCCAAATAAATTTTTCCATTTTTGCTTCTTTTGATTTTTCCTAATTGTTTCCTTTTTTTAAATTTGTATTTAATATTTTTCTATAATATATACATTTGGGTGTACTATTGTTTAGACCGTTAGCGTAGTTTATTTTGTTAGATTATCTCCAGCTTTAGCTGCAGTACTGACTAATTTAATGTATATGCACAAATATAATATTGTATTGCTTCCTGTCAAAAATATGAATTTAAAAGATACATTTGTGAGGGGTGTACTTGTATATGCTGAGCAGTGTATCAAAAATATCTGATGCACAACACTGTGGGAAGCTTAAAGTTTTAAAAACAAATCCACAGCTCAAAGTGTCATATAGTTGACCTGACGCTTACATATGAAAACACAAATGTTCACATGAATAAAAATTTACTTGTGTAACAATTATGTAGATTTGATTTATAATACAAGCAAAAAATAAGACACAAAAATGGCATTGTCATAATTGCAAATTAGAAACATATTCGAACTGTTCACATTATGCAAGTCAAATAAATAAATAAAAATAAACCAAACCAAATCACAATTATAAGATTGTGATAGAGTAAAAACGTGGTAAATCAAACATCACCAAATTACTTTGTATAAAATATGATTTTAGTCTTTCTGCTTTATCACACGTAGATTTGTAGAATAATAAATCATAACATGTCTTACATTTTTTCAGTAAGCATGCCTTTGCATTTCAAAATAAATCCTCAACCATTTTTTCCTCATACCAGAGGACCTCTGCAATTCAAATTCAAAGGGAATTTTCCAATGGGCTATAAAACAAAATGCATACACAATACAAATACTGTATATGTAGGGAATAAATTATGCTGGGCCGCTGAATTATTAGAAAACAATGCATATTATTTCAACAGTCCAACAGCTCAAGATATTGTTCAGACACTTGTCAGGTTTTGTCTACAAAATTAGTTAATGGTACGTACAACTACACTAACTGACAAAAGTCTTGTCGTCAATCCCAGTTATAATAACTTGATTTCTAGTGTCAGAGGGTAGATTTATCAAATGAATCATCTGTTGAACTGCATCCCAATCATCACAAATACTGCAGAAGACCTACTGGAACCCGCATGGACCCAAGATTCTCAGAGAAATCAGTCAAGTTTGGTGAAGGAAAAAAAAATCATGGTTTGGGGTTACATTCAGTATGGGCTTGTGCAAGAGATCTGCAGAGTGGATGGCAACATCAACAGCCTGAGGTATCAAGACAATTGTGCTGCCTATTCCATTACAAACCACAGAAGAGGGCAAATTCTTCAGCAGGATAGCACTCCTTCTCATACTTCAGCCTCCACATCAAAGTTCCTGAAAGCAAAGAAGGTAAAGGTGCTCCAGGATTGGCCATCCCAGTGGCCAGATAAGAACATTATTGAGCATGTCTGGGGTAAGATGGAGGAGGCATTGAAGATATACAATATTAATACACAATATTAATAGTTTTTCCACAGCACTATGACTTTATTTTCTATAATGTCCGTTATTTCTGAAGTGACAAGGCTTTTGTCTAAGAAAAGTCAGACCTTCCTGTCCTAATTAAATCATTAAAAATCAAGGCATGCTCATATTTTATTTTGGTAAAATAAGTGTAATCTAGAGGCCTTTGCCTTTCATTTAAGCCACTTTTGACACCAAATGATCAACTAGAAGTCAAGTTATTGTTTGCTAATCCGAAAAGGCGACAAGATTTTTGGCAGGTAGTGTATTTTTTTTATATAGTTTTTACTGTCAAACAAATTAATAAAATTTTAAGAACATTCATACGTTTTAGAAATGTGCTCAAACATTTTATAACAACCACTTATTTGATGCTTATCTAAATATCTTGACAAATATATCTAAAAATCTTGCCAAAATTAAAGCCATAACAGACACAAAGCAATGTATTTTTAGAGGCTGGAAGAGTGACATTGCTGCATATTAATAGATGTCAAACATGAAATAAGCAGTTTTCTTTTCCTTCTCTCTTTGAATGAACCTCCAGTGCTGTGATTAAATATTTAAATGCTGAAGCTCATTGTTCAGTGAATTTTCAATACAGTGTAATTCAGGGCTTGATTTAGCATCATTTTTCACATCTGCGCTATAGTTGTGGATCAATAAGTGATGTGTGAAAACAGCTGCTAATGAGGCGCTTGACATTAAAGCCCTGGAGAAGAGCATTGAACACCTGCAGTGAAGCTCAACAAGCAGCCGCTCACCAGTTATTAATGAAGAGACCAGAAATACTCCACTCAGCTTCACTGTCCTAAAGTGGGGCATGTTAATCTGCTTTGTAAATAACTAAGCTAAGCTAAGCAAAACTAAAATAAATAAATGAAATAAAAAACAAATTAATAAAATAATAAATAAAAAACTATACTTTAAGCCATAATAAATAAATGAATGAATGAATAATTGATATATATATATATATATATATATATATATATATATATATATATATATTTATATATACACACACACACACACACACACACACACACACATATATATATATACACACACACACACACACACAGACACACACACACACACACACATATATATATATATATATATATATATATATATATATATATATATATATATATATATATGTAAAAATAAACTATTTAACATATTAAAGTAAAATTACTAAAATAATAGATGAATAAATAAACAAATAAACATAACATGAATGTGAATATGTTTAACATGAATATGTTTAAGTCATAACATGAATAAATGAATGAATGAATGCATGAATAAATAAATAAATATATTAATTAATAAAAAAATTAGTAAATATTATTTCAAAAGTCATAATAAATAAATGAATAGATGAATAAATGAATGAATGAATGAATGAATGAATAAATAAAATAAATAAATATTATTTCAAAAGTCATAATAAATAAATGAATTGATAAATGAATGAATAAAAAATGAAATGAAAAATATAAAATAATAAATGAATAAATGAATGATATTTCAAAAGTCATAATAAATGTATGAATGAATAAATGAATAAATAAATAAATAAATAAATAAATAAATAAATAAATAAATAAATAAATAAATAAATAAATTAATTAATTAATTAATTAATTAATTAATTAATTAATTAATTCTGTGTCAAAATGTACTTTTAAAAAATAAAGATTATCATACTATTTTAGAATAAGTTAGAGAAGACACAGCTTAAAATGTTAGTGCAACAAATACTATTTATTGTTCATGGTGCAGCCCCAAAATATGGATATTTGTCACTTTAAACTTTTATAAAACTGCATTACCTATTTGCCAACAACACATTTTTAACAACGGATCATCTATCCTTTTATGTATTTGAACAAGTACAGGTCAGAAGATGTATTTTGTTTTATTTTTAAATAAATATATCTGAATAATGAGATATATTTATTTAATATATTTTATAAATTTTTTTTAGGTTAAATGAATATTTGGACACTTTAATCTGCATTTAAAATGCTCACAAGGCTCAGCTGTGCTGCTGATGGTGGCAGGTATCAGTCATGAGTGAGACATTGAGCTGAAGGTCACACCCCATGATTCCTGAGACTTGCCCCTTCAGCCCAATATGGGGGCGGAATAAAAGCTAATTATGAGCGGAGGCAGCTTTTCCATCCCTGCACTTCTTACCATCTCTTCATTCAGTCCTGCAGGTCGTGATGAGGACAACAAGCAACCAGCCATAACAAGACAAGAGCAGCCACTACCATTATCACTGGGAAACCTGCGGTGAGTTACAGAGACATAAGAAGAGGCAGCATTAAATATATACTATGTAGTTGTTTTATGAAGTTTGCCTAAAAATGTGTTAGTAAATTTTTTATAACAAACTTGTGGTGTTATAACACTTATATTATACTGTTGAATGCAATGCATGATCCAAATTTTAATATTGTTTAGATGTTCACATTATAATATCAGTGGTAAATCTACTGTATGTAAATGATGCTCACATATATGAAACAAATGTTTAAATTATTCCAAAACGTCAATAGAACAAAATTAAATCTATATAGTAAGCTAAAAGTAACTTAAAGTAATTTTTTACCACTCAAAAATTTATGATTTACTCATTTATTTAACCTCAGGTGGTTCCAGTATAAGAAACTGGATTGGTTTAACCCAATGTTGGGTCATATTTTACTCAAGTTTTATGCATATTTGACTCAATGTTGGGTTAAAGCATCAGGATTTTTTTGAGCTGAGTTTCTTTTTTCTGTTGAATAAAAAAAGATATTTTGAAGAACGTTGGAAACAAGTAGCCATTGACTTACATGATAAAATAACTCTTCTTCTCTGTCTTCTTTCTACTAAATCTTCTTTAGTGTTCAACAGAAGAAAATAAACTCAAACTGGTATGGAACAAGTTGATGGTGGATAAACTATGGCAGAAAAATGTATTAAATAAACAGAGTTATCAATTAGTTTTTGTTTGAACTATAAAAAGAGCTTTAATGTAGAATTATGTTAAAGTGTGGAGCAGATTCTATGAGTTCATATTAATAAGCAGATTAATGGTGCTCTCCAGAGGGTTTTTGCACTCCTCTCCCACTGAGCCTCACGCAAAACACGACCAGCTGAGACCCAGCAAAAACAATTACTGCGACTCTGCAACAGAGATGTGTTTAATAGCCTCGAGGAGCCACTGCTTTTTTCTTCTTAGGGAACTCAAGCATTGTTGAGCTCTTATCTAAGCAGGTGCGTTTAGCTGGACTCACCTGGGCTTTGTTTTTCTTTATTCCTGCAGGGTTAATTTGGTCTCTACAAACGAACAGGATGTCTAATAACATGGCAAAAATTGCAGATGCACGAAAAACAGTGGAGCAGTTGAAATTGGAGGTTAATATTGATCGGATGATGGTAAGAGACTTTAAGAAGAAGGCGAAAAAAAGCACAATTCATTAAAAAAAAATCATTTGAGCTTATTTGTGTTTGTTTTATTTTATTATATCATATTCCTTCCTTATATTTTCATGTGTTTCATTTATTTATTTAACCTTCCTGTCTGTGTTCGGGTCAAATCTGACCAATTTACAAATTAAAACACTCTTAAATATTGTGTTTTATATCTGATTGCTTCAAGGACCTCTGATATCCTCCACACTATGCATTAGAACATATAAAAGTGATGATCACCTCTTTCATTGACTTTTGAGTGCCAAAAGTGACCGCCATAGGAAATGAATGGGTATCCTTCCCATTCAAAATGCAATATTCTTCCATCAGACAGAAAACATCCCCAAAATAACTGCAGTGAAAATACAAACAGTGAGTGAGTGAGTGAGTGAGTGAGTGAGTGAGTGAGTGAGTGAGTGAGTGAGTGAGTGAGTGAGTGAGTGAGTTGGGGTGGGGTGGGGTGGTGTACAGTATGTAAACTACCCCAACTCACTCACAATTTGTATTTTCACTGCAGTCATTTTATGTCTAGTGTTATAAACTCATAATAACCATGAGACATTGTTTATAGCTAAAGAATGTTAAATAAAAATTTGGTTTTGAAAAATGTATTTGTGCTAATATAAGAGCAGTTATAATGGGCCGGTCAATTTTGTCTGAGAACACTAAAGTAAGGGGCGGGAGGTGAACATGACAGGAGGGTTAATTCAGTCAATTAATTGTTATCACGGTCCCACTTTATATTAAGTGGCCTTAACTAATAAGTACTTACATAGGAATTAATAGTTTGTTACAATGTACTTATTGTGTAAATACATGTATTTACTATGTACTTATGCTTGATTAAATGCATGTATGTATTTACATCTGTAATTAACTTTTGTAATTACATTTTGTAAACCCACTGTTGACCATCCCTTACACCTTAACCTACCCTTAAACCTACCCATGCCGCCAAACATGCCATAACCCAACCTCTATTCCAACTCAAAAGCACCACAAGTGTTCTCAAATACATTATAAACACAGTAAGTACATTGTATTTATTTTTTTTGATGTAAGTACATAGTAGTTAGGGACACTTAATATTAAGTGGGACCGTTATCACTTTATTTTGATGGTCCCTTTAATGCATTTTGTGGATTTAAGTTACATGCATCTACATGCCAACTAATTCTCATTAGATTATAGTGATTAAGTAAACAGTTAGGCTGGAGTTAGGGTTAGTGTAAGTTGAAATGTACTTGCAAAGTTTCATAGTCGGTTAAATGTCTGTTGAAGGAGCAGTTTCAGCAGATATTAAGCAGACAGAATCCTCAATTGAGAAGTAATTGGCATGTACAGGCCCATAGCCAGCCTACTGAAAGGGGTGATTCTTTTTTCTCAATAAGTGGAGCATTTTGCAGCTATTCTTCTCAATTTCTGTTAAATTTTGAGATTCAAATTCTGCATTTTAGTGACATTTTAAGCAATAATCTTTGCTGGATTAGCTTGTCGGATGGTGATCATAACCACACTTTTTGATGCAAAACAAAAATATTTTCTACAATTTTGTCAAAATACTTACCATAGTATTTTATCACAAGTGTTTATTATACGCGTGTTTAAACTGGAAGTTAGTACAGTTAAAAAAATAATGCTATGAAATTAGAATTTTTAATTTGAAATAAAGAAATATAAAAAACTTATTTTTCAAATACAAATTTATTATCATGCATCATTAAAAAAAGAAATATAAAAAAAAAACATAAAAAAACTGTAGCCTGTAGGTAAACAAAAACTGACCAGCTCATTTCCTCAGTCAGAATTTGTTAATTTGAATAATTAAAATTTTAATTTGTCTTACAGCTTTCTTTAATCAGTTATTTTCACAATTTATGATGCATGGCATAATTTCAGAAAGTGGACAAATGAGCTTATAGGGGCCAAATTCTGGACTTTGTCAGTGGGGGTGGGTCTGTCGAATCACCTGAACCCCTGGTTATGCGAAATTTCTGTATAAAAATTCAAGCAAACACGTTCATTCATTCGCTCAAAAAAGGGAAAAAATTTACTTATAAAAAATAACAAATTCTGGTATTTTTTTTGTTCTTTGTAATTAATAATTCAGTAACTACAAAAGCTATTAATTTCCCTTTAAATGAAATAAAACTAAATTAATTACAACCCATTATAAATTACTTTCAATTATTTCAGGGGTAAATGAAAGTAACTAACTTACCCAAGATTGAGATTTATGTCAGTTTTATGGTCCAAAATGTCCTAATCCCAAGAAGAACCTGATTGTAGCCTTTAAAAGCAATTTGTGGTAAAGATTAAGCAGTGAATTCTGTAAAAGAAAATACATACTCAAACAGCGACATTACACACAAAGTAAAGTTAAAAATATGAAAAAAGTGTAGTTATTTGTGGATGTATACTGTAGGTTAATGTTGCCTTGTATATCTTTGCTCAGGTCTCTAAAGCAGCAGCTGAACTGATGGCTTACTGTGAATCTCATGCAAAGGAAGACCCGCTGGTGACCCCCGTCCCATCCTCAGAAAACCCCTTCAGAGAGAAAAAGATATTCTGCACAGTTTTGTAATTGTTATTTGTAGATCACAAGGTTCATTGTATTATTTTCTAGGATATTCCAGAGACCCTAAGCCAAATTTAAGTCACTTAATAACCCTCTGGTGCTGTTTGGTCATTTGCAACCAAAAATATTCACATTTTATGTTTATTTTGAATAACAATGCACCTGATTCCAAAGCTTAAATTGTCCTGAAGTAATAGTACATTTTAGAGTGTAAAACATGCTTTGGAAAATAAAAAATTTATTTCTTTTAAATTATAATTACAATAACATTAAAGCAATTATTAAAAGCAATAATCTGACAAGTGTCTTTATTTAAAAGATATCAAACTTAAGTTTGTTTTCCAAAGCATTGATGTTTACAAAAATATATAATAAACAAATCAAACAAATACAATTTGTTGCATTTTCTTTACTTAACAGTAATTTACAAAATATCAAATTTAAAAAAATTATAATCGTATGGGAATAACTGAAAAATGCTACTCAATATTTCAATAAGATGGGTTTTTACTTTTTAAAAACAGTAATTTGCAAAGTGTCTTAATTTAAAAAAACAAGTCAGTAAGCTCCAAGGCATTCAAGATTTATGAATAAATGAATAAAAACATTTTTAAAGGCTACATTTCAAGTTACAAAGACTGAACCCATTCATTTTATTGAAAAAATGTTGAGGGTTTCACACTCCATATCTGTGTGTTGAACTGTAATTTTAGGTATATTTGTGCTTCAGAATTTTCATCCATCCAGGTCTTCCATCCATTCTTTTTGAATAAGTTTTTCCCTCTTGATGGCGCTATAGTTTTAAAACGTCTGTCAATCTTTAGTCACCCATACATCTGAATGTTCGATGAGGTTGTTTAGCCTGCAGAACAGCAATAAAACGAGAGAGAGCAAAGTTCACTCTGATAAAGGTCTGTTTGTTGAATGTCAGCTTCCGTGAACGCGGTTTATATATTAACCTCTCTCTACAAAACCATCAACACTTTGCAAACCTGAGTACTTTATGGTGTTAACTACATTCCCTTCAATATGTTCATGCGTTACAGCAGCAATTTTTTAAAGAAAAAGTACTTCAATACACGTAGGCCTACATTTATTAATACGATCTGACAAGAAACTCACTAACCCGCAGCATGTGGGCGCGGCGGTCATATTTTCTGAAGTCAGTCAAACACGGGAGGGGTGTGGTCATATTTTCTAAAGTTGTCAGTCAAGAGACTGATGGGCGTGGTCTTCTTCAGAGGCAGGTGAGCAGGTGCTTTATTTTTTTAGACAGGTAACTAGGATATTCCCATCACAAGAGCCGCACAGGAGAACTCTTGCACTGGGAGCCCCGCCGTGACAACACAACACACAGGCCAGCATTCAGGTACAGTTCACAAAACAAAACCTCTGTGCTCATTTTCGGTATCTGATTAGTATTATCGACCTAATTAATTAATTTCACCAATCTAATTTTAAAAAATGATAATAATAATATGAAAACATGCAGAGATTTGCCAGTACATTGTTTTATGGGTTGTGTCTTTGACTGTTTTAAGTGAATACTAAATGTTAAGATATATATTAAAATAATCATTCAAAACATTAATTCAGTTTAGAATGGTAATCAGTGCCATGTTAATTAATTAGTAACTAAATTATTGTTATACTATATGCTGTAAAATCATTATTAATTGTTTAGCCTATCAATTCTTAGGTTAAAATAGCCTATGTGTCTAGCAGTTTATTTGTGTGGGCTACAGTATTTTGTGAAAATGGTGAAGTGTACATTGTTTAATTTCAGTAGCCTAGCTTACAGTAACACTGTAGGAAGCATACTGTAAAAGGCAAGAAGGCATTGCATCTAAAACTGTGGTAGCCATGGTGAATTGCTACTTACTTGATACTAGATACTATCTAAACAGTGTGCAGAGACAAAAGTTAGGTGAACTTTATTTATTGCAGGACAATAAAGCCCACATTCACGTAGGTAAATAGCCAAAAAGCACTTCTGACCAACCGGGAAAACTTGATTTCCAACCATACTTGACAGTAGTTCTTTTAACCAGCAGACCAAAGGTGACGAAAAGAAAAACCCACTTGATACAATACAGCAATTTTTTAGATTTCTCATTTTTGTTTGGTGAACCACAAAAATAGCTTATATAATAAATTATGTCAGTCATTAAAGCACGAACTTGCATAATATTTATTTCTCGGATGCTTCTCAGTCAGATACAGTGTAAAAAATTTTATGGACTATAGGTCATTAGTCCTGACAGCATCTGTTTTTAGATCATTGTAATATATTAAACTCAGGGATCGGCAGTATTTAAGATACATGTATTTCAAATACATATTTTAAATACAAAATAGTATTTTGTCCTTTGTATTTGATAGGGTTTATAGAAATGGCTTAATATGCTGTATCAAAATACTTTTTTTTGTTTTGTATTTTTAAAATATGGTAAGAAGTCATAGATGCACCCTCTGGGTTAGTAATATGGTCAATAAAAATGACACACTTTATCTGCCTAATTTGCTAATAAATGGACAAGATTTTATTTAGAGTGAAAAGCCTAATAAAATATTAGGACCAATATTGACCCAAGATAAATTTCCAATACAAACTAGAAATAATGTGTTTTTCTTTTTTTTCCAATCATTGAATTAAGAACTATGTTTCTTACCTTCCCCATACCTCCCAAAGCTAAAGAAGCACACTTCAAAATATTCAAAGTTTCTTAGACATGTATTTAATTTGAATAAAAACAATTATGCATTCTTTGAGGTTGACACTGAAATGACTGCACATTTATTTTATGAATGTTTATGTAGAAACTTCTGGTCTGATTTGTTTGCGTGATTAAAAATTTTACCCTAAGTTGTACTCCCAGTTTTTTCCCAACTTTTCTGAGGGAAAGATGTTATTATTCAATTTGTATCGAACAATATTCTAATTTTGGATAAATTTTATATTCATAAATGTAAGTGCCTTAAAACGGAATATTGGTTATACTGTAAATCTTTAAAGTTGCTAAAATCAAAATGTGCAAGAAGGCTGTTTTGTTTATTGAAAAAATTAAAACAATATTTCTTTGTATTACTGCACTATCGATTTGATTATTATTTGTGCTCTGTTCTGTAAATGTAGATTAAAGTTGTTAATTGAATTTTGCCTTATTGTGTTTGTGTTATAATGCAAAAAATAAAAATAAAAATGCACCCTCTGATTGGTGCTTTGGACATTATTAACTCTTCCGTTTAAAGAATAACTAAAAAAAGAATACTTAGGGAAAGAGGATACTGTACAAATAACCGTAGTTTTAGATGAATCGCTGATGCCAAATCTGTCTTTAAAACAAACAACATAAAAATAAGTCCTACAGTGGAAACTCCTACAATACTTCATTGGCTGTTTTAAATGCCAGTAATTGAACAGCAGGTATAGTTGCAAGGTATGGCAAATGAAGAGGAAAGATGTTTGCCTGAAGATGTGACACAATGAAACACATATTTAATAATCTCCTAAAAACTGAAAGGTTATGCGAGAGCAGGGCATGTATGAAGAGTTTATTTGCAAAAATAGATAACAATTTTTTTGTTTGATTAATAAAGGGACTAAGCTGAAAAGAAAATGAATGAATGATTTGCAATAAGTTATGGGCTACAACTGAAAGTATAGTCTGTCCAATGTTGATGTTAGCTATGTTTATGCATAATTACATTAATTTAAATTGATCTATTGCATAATTCTTAATTTCTTAATATGTGCACAATAATAAGCTGCAAATGTGTTTGTAATATTTATGGTAATAACCCACTATTAATAATGAATACGTGTACCACATACAACTGAAATGTGGTAGAATCAGGACTGATGAGGACAGAAATTAAATCAAGGAAATGATGTGTTATAGTTGAAAAGAAAAAAAACTTCAAGCACCAAAAGCAAGTGCAGTTTTAAAAGCAGACTTCATTTTCTGATTTCATAAGTCATTTTTTTTTTAACCAACTAAACTGTTATTATAATATTTTCTATGATATGAGCACCAATACCAACATTTATTTATCTACATGCATTTCTTGGTTAAAGATTATCAAAGAGGATGTAACTGTCTTTTAGCTTTATGCAATAAAAGCTTATCATAGTGAACTTTGGCTACAAATGACATATTGAAAGCTTTAAACAATGTCTTGAACATCTATATCTGAAACATTTAAAACCTAGTCTTTGTCCCTTTACATCACAAGTATTATACAGTATGCCCTTTGTATTTATACAATGTTATTTGTTATGAAGCTTTCTTGTTTGTTATTGAATAATTCAAAGTTATCTGATTTTTATTAACTGTTGCTGTTCTTGTTGGTTCTGTTTTCTTTGTAATATAAAAAAAATCCTTGTTAACATTGCAATATTCATATTCTTTTGACTTTATGTGTTTCTTATGGTTACGTTTTTTCTACTTCAAGGAGCAGGATGGCCAACTTCAAGGGACATGCATTACCTGGTACATTCTTCCTGCTGTTTGGCCTGTGGTGGTCGATAAAATGCCCTTTCCGACAAATACTGAGGAGAAAAGAGAGACAAGTTGGAGACAGAGAGAGACAAAAGCTCACCGCACTCTTTAACCGCATTGACTTAATCGAAGGATCGCTCAAGATCTTCTTTGCATTTGTTGGTGAGCCATAACCATGGGACTCATTCATGTTTACTTTCATATTAAAATATGAGTGTAACCCACCAGTCCTGCTGCACCCATCCTATTCTGAGCTGGTATCGAACCAGTGATTTTTTTGTATGAGAGTCGGTTGCTCTAACAAGGAGGCTAAAGACCTGTAAGCCTTTAGCATCTGTCTCTAGAGCACCTCTAGATGTCAGAGGAGTGAGGTTTAACTGCATAGCACTTCACTAGCTGGCGTCCTTTACATGACATGTTATATACTTTATGCATATATAAAGGTAGCATTCCTGGATTTATTTAAGATATGTTTATATCTGATTTATACTACAACACAACAGCATAATAACGTAAGAAGTGCTGATGATTTAATATTTAGTGGAATAAGCCTAGCAATAATATTTGGTGGAATATGCCTGATCAATCACAACAAATCAAATCCTTTGTTATTCCAGCCATTAAGTGGGGAACATTTTCAAATAATATTTTGGAAATTTGAAAGAAATGTTACCAGACCTTTATAAAATAAAACAAATATAAATGCTTTACTCTAACTCATACATAATAAATCAGTGAATACTTATTTGGACACATAGGCCATAGCCAGGAGGGGTTGGATAGATCCCTCCACTGGTAAAAGGTTCAGTATTATCCCATACATGAGCTCATTTGTCTTACTTTGTCTTAAATTGTGAAAAATAACCCATCAAAGAAGTCTTCCAATGAATGCAAACAATTGTTTTTCATGAGTCCAACATCCAGCTGTGCAAAAACATACAATATGATGAAAATGAAGTCATCTTTCACTACAAGTAGCCCAACTTTTATTCTGAATCTTGGACCTCATTAAGGTTTGAAGCACCAAAAGCAGCCCATATTAAAGTTAATTTTAATACTAATTAGGCTAATTTTATTTTTTACAAAAACTCTTTTCATCTAAAACTTTAATTCCTTTTTTCTAATGATATATGATGAAATAAATTAGTATTTAAAAAGAAGTGCGAATGTAAAATAAACAGTAAACACACTCTTCAAGCTCCTTTCATGAATGCAAAGTGGATGAAGAATAAACACTGCAATAAAAAACAGCATATTAGTTTACAGTACATGCACTTTCACACACCTAAATAAAATACTGGTTAATATAAGTCAGTGCAGCCATACTTCACAGTAAACTTTCATTATGTATTTACTAACATGAATTAATAATGACCAATACGCATACAACATTTATTAATCATAGTTCACTATTTACTAATGCATTATTATCATCCAAATTCATGCTGAGTTAACATGTACTAACAATGATAAACTATCATAAGGAAGATATACAGTATATTTGTTACGTTTTTGCGTTATCTCGAAAACACTGTTGTTTGACAAACACTTCCAATTTATTTTATACATGTCAACTCTCCCGTTTTTGTCAGGATTCTCCCATATTTAACCATTCTATCCAGCTATCATCCTATTGTTAAGTATTTTCCTATATTTCTCCCATATTTTTAATCTTGAAAGCACATTGGAGTTAATATAAAAATGTCTGCATTCACTTTCTTTCCATTAAAGCCGAGTCCATCATCGCCCTTCCTATGCAACCTCTGAATCAGTGAAGGCATGTATAGATCATTTCAATGTGGTGGTGTCACTGGCCTATGGTCATACCCTGTTTGTTGTTAAGCTATTTCGTTACTGCAACAAGAGGCACTTTAATCATATCTTGATATTAAAACAACTGTCATAACATTATTTATCAATATGTTGACGTTTTTGGATTCTTGGAAGCTTATTTTTTTCCCACCTATTTTTTTTCCACACGTTCATGGTTCTCTATAGGTTTTAAAGGACAATGGCAACAAGCTATAAAATGACTGAACAGTGATGCTTGAATACAGTCCTTTTGCTATGTAAATGATTGCTACACTGACTGATATTTTAGTAAGTATCTTCTGTAGATTACTGTAAAATTGTATGACAGTCATTGTTTGTTATGCTTAGAAACAAAAAAGGAAAAAGAAATAAAAGACTAAATTACACCTTTCACCAAGTACCAAGAATGTAAAACAAGGTGCTACTAAAGCATCACAAACTGATGCACTAAATTACAACACATTTAAAGCTGTTTTGTCTGGGGAAAAAATTGAAAGGCTTGCTTTGGGAATGCCTAAACAATCGCAATTCACTAATGGCAAACAGCAGGCTGGGCATTCTATCATAAATTTCCAGTGGTTTTAAATGTTATTAATGACTTAATTTTAATCTAATTGTTTAAAAAATTGTAATATCCTGTTGGTTTACTCTTAAATTTCCCTCCAGGCATTATGGCTGAGCAGTTTGTTCCCGATGGCCCTCATGCACACTTGTATCAGGACGGTTGGGTGAAGCTGATGAACTGGCAGCACAGCACCATGTACTTGTTCTATGGCATCTCTGGCATTGCAGATGTTCTCAGTGTATCTTCACACCACGTGCCGGTTGGTCTTGACCGTCTCTTCCTTTCCTTGGCTCTCTTTGTTGAAGGTATTTAAAATAAATCTTGAATCAAGCACTCCAGTCCACTATTGAGCTCCATGTTATATCACAGCTGTTTTCTTCCAGGCTTCCTTTTCTACTTCCACATCCACAATCGTGAACCTCTGGACCAGCACATTCACTCACTGCTTCTGTTTGCTGTATTTGGTGGATCTGCCAGCACAATGATGGAGGTGTTTAAGCGAGAAAACGCAGTGCTGGAGCTTTTGAGATGCACTCTGGCCATCCTACAAGGCACATGGTTCTACCAGGTAAAGACAACGGTGCAGACTCTTATGGGATTCAGGGTAAATGTGACTGTCAGAACAACACAGCAATATTGGTTGTTTCAGATCGGGTTTGTGCTGTATCCTCTGAGTGGACCAGAGTGGGATCTGACAAGGCATGACAACATCATGTTTATCACTATGTGCTTCTGCTGGCATCTGGCTGTGGCGCTGCTGATTGTGGGCATCTGCTACTGTGGAGTGTTTTGGTGAGTGAACACATTGGGTAAACCAAAAGATTTCAAATGCAACACACAAATGCAACTTCATCTATTAACAGGTTAACCATGCTATAAAACCCTACAGTCAACTTTATCAAATAAAATAAGTGTAGTTAACTCAAAATTTACTAAAAGTTAATTCTACTCATTTGATAAGAGTTTTGAACTTAGTGTTGAAGATGATGAGTTAATTAAATACCTCATTACTTCAATTAAAATGAAGTACTCCATTTTAAACCAGCCTAGGCTGGTTGGCTGGTTTTAGCTGGTCGACCAGGCTGGTTTTAGAGGGGTTTTGGCCACTTCCAGGCTGGTTTCCAGCCATTTCCAGCCTGGTCTTAGCTGGTCAGGCTGGGAGATGACCAGCTAAAATCAGCTTGACCAGCCTAGCCAGGCTGAGAGCCCAGCCAAAACCAGCTATGTCCAGCTTAAACCAGGCTGGTCAAGCTGGTTTTAGCTGGATTAAGCTGGTCATTTTTCAGCCTGACCAGCTAAGACCAGGCTGTAAATGGCTGAAAACCAGCCTGGAAATGGCCAACACCCCTCTAAAACCAGGCTGGTCAACCAACTAAAACCAGCCAACCAGCCTAGGCTGGTTTAAGCTGGATTTTTCAGTGTTAGTTCACAGTACTCATTAGGATTAGTTTTTGAACTTAAATGGTTTGTTGCAATCGGTTTCCTCAAATGGTTTGAGTTACCGTAACTTTTTGGGTTTTATAGTGTGATAATAACTGAAAGTAACACTTTATATTAACTAACATTATTTATATATATATATATATATATATATATATATATATATATATATATATATATATATATATATATATGTATATATATATATTAGCAATATCACACGAGTAGCAGTGCGATATGGCTGTATATCGGCACTGGTGGAAGGCGTGTGCCTTAGTGCCCCCACCAGTGTCGATATACAGCCATATCGCATTGCTACGAGTTTATACAACAGTTTGACGGCATAAATGTGTATATAAAAACAAAATCAAACATGGAGAGTCTCAAAAACCCTTTTGTATGAGGAACTACTTTCTTCCGCCTTGGATTCAAATCATAAGCTTACAGTTAAACAGCTGAGCAAGCATCTTTTAAACTTTAGATCTGTAGTGTCTGCTTTTTGCTGGTTGTATATGGGTGGAGTAATATACAAAGGGAAAAGAGGCTTATATATATATATATATAAATGGTGACTCTCGCAACTCCAGTACGTAGTCTTTGTTCGGCATCTGAACTTTACCCTGTATCAGTCACGCTGTAAACTCAAGACCATGGGTGGTAGGGCTTTCTCCTACAGTGCGCCAGAGCTGTGGAATGCACTACCCATCAGCATCAGGAATGTCGCTTCTCTGGACTGTTTTAAGAAACTTCTTAAGACTCACCTTTTTAGCATTGCTTTCAACTTAGGATGATAAATTGTTAACTTTTTATTCTATTTTATGGTTTATATTTTTTTGCTTTATTGCATTTTTTAATTGTCGTACTGTTTCTGCTATTGTTAGTATTTTGCCTTGTAGCACTTTGAGTCTAAGAAAAGCACATTACAAATAAAACCTATTATTACTATTATAAATATAAGGTAAAAAATATTGCTCAATGCAAATTAGTGTCAGTTTATGGCTTTAGTTCACTTATTTACTCATTTCAGACCCTTATGAAAATGTTTAACTTAAAAAACTAAAATTTTCCCAGAATTTTTAACTAAGAGATCAAAAAGTAAATGCTTTAAGAAGCTTTCTAAAAAGGTTCGACTTGTTTGACTCATTGGCTGTCACTTATCAAGAAAGCATGTTTGTGCTTCTGTTAACGAGTTCAAATTCTCTAAACACAGTACGATTACATAGACGTCAATAATACGATTAAGACAATACTCTGATTAAGAGCTGACATAATCGAACTAAACAAAAATCGGATTAAGACATGTGGAGTATGCCGATTTTAGTCTCATTATTGAAGTGCAGTACAGACATCTAAACGCCTTAATCAAACTATTATCGCAGTGTAGGATTTTCGCCGCATGCGAAATACAGAGTTTTTTCCCATATGGCATGCCGTATCAAATTCCCTTAAAACAACAGGACAGCAGTTAATACTCGCATCCAATATCTCATTTGTTAGGGGGGGCATGCATGAAATGTTCCTGAATGAAAATGAAAGTGCCAAACTGCAGTTAAAGTCAACAAAATTGAAAATGAAATGCCCGAAATTACATGAAACTCCATAGGAAATGTGGACATCGTGCTGACGCAATGATGTTAATCAAATTATGTGCTAAAACTTGTAAACCGGTATTATGAAAGGAACATTTAAAAGGCTGCTCATGTAAACAACTTAATCATATCAGTGTCTTATTTACAATTTAGCAAATAATTTGATTGCTATTGTCCATGTAAACATAGTCATTGTTGAATCATTACTGCATACATGTAAACAAAAGGTCAAATTTATCTGTTCATCACAAAAAGACTTTAGAGTATTTTCAGAAACCTTTTGGATGCTATTTTTTTTATCTGTATGCACGTTTTAAATCATCATCAGATTTTTTGGGCAAACAGTGTCAACGGAGATGAAATTTTTTTTTATGAGTTTAGAACAATGAAGGCAAGTAAATAATGATGGAATTTTATTCAGAGAAGACATCAAAGAATATATTTGTTCCAAATTACCAACACTTGCCTATAAAATTTTATCTAAAAACAAAATACTGATGTGTGAAATGTATGCAATTAAATACAAGTAACTACTTATGTGCAAAAAACAGATTCATTAAATTTGATCCCTAGCTGTTTATGACCATTTAAAAGGATAGTTCACCCAAAAATAAAAAAGTACTCACTATTTATTCTCCCTTGAGTAGTTTCAAACCTTTATATGTTTCTTTCTTTTGTTGAACACAAAATAAGATATTTTGAAGAAAGCTGAAAGCATGTTGACTTGCATAGTAGGAAAAACAAATACTGTGGAAGTCAATGGTTACACGTTTTTAACACATCTCAAAATATCTTATTTGAGGTTTAACAGAAAATCAATGTTTGAAACAAGTAAAAAATGTGTAAATGATGACAGATTTTTTATTTATTTTTTGGGTGAACTGTTCCTTTAAGACATAACATACATGCATTTTAACATTTGATACAGAAAACTAAATAAGTTATGCAAAATGCTGTGCCATAGGGCTCCAATCCTCTGCATGTGGTTATTTTTGGACAGAGCGAGAAACACATCAAGATCCTTCTGATTGTCTATATGCATTAGCATAAACTTTTTACTTTCCCATGAGAGTGTTTGTACCAAAGTGGCTTCTTTCCCTTGTTTATTTTTTTATCAGTTTACAACAAACACGTGATTTATTTGCATCTGTCAAAACACTATATTTGGTAGTCATAATATTCCTGTGATCTTGATGATAAGCTCTTATATTTTTAGTATTTTCTATACAAAATACAATATTTGATCACTAATTCTAATAAATGGCATACATTACTGTACAGTGTTTTTACTTTACTTACATTGTGCCAACGCTCATTCCAGGACTTCAAAATGGTGTCAAAGAAGGCAGAGGGGTGACATGGAGATGGGTCTCAGAAAGAGCACTTCCACCGACTCCAGCTCCCAAAAGGCTTTGCTTCAGGAATCAGATGAAGAGTAGTGGAAACCTTTCATGGCTGCCAAAAATGAAGGCACTGAATGCAGATCTTTTAGCTCGTTACTCTGCTAACACACTCCTACAGGACTTTATGAGTTTATGTTTGCGATCATTTCACTGCAAAAGATTCAGAAGATTTTCATGTGCTTGTGCTAAAAGGATTACACTGAAATGGACTTGTAAATAATGTGGTAGTGACAAATGTCAAACGATTTCCAATCTTGAAATTATATTGTGGTTTCATGATAGTCTTTTAAATATAGTAATAGTCTCAAACAAGAATGAGATTCACTCCAAAACAGCTATGATAGATGTATGAGATATTCAACAGTGAAATTAAAGTAAGGAATATGTATATATCTACATTTATATGAATGTATAATTGTTTGTTGTTAGAACTGAACAAGCAGTTTGATTAATGTTACTTGCCACAACATGCAAATCACGTGGCTCAAAGCAGGCAAATTATTTGTTTTACATTTACAGCATTCAAGTACAGGATTAAGCCCTGTATTCCAGTGTGCCATGTCATTTGGTTGACTTCACGTAACAGTTGTCATTTGATTATCACGATCATTTATTTATCACAATGCAATATTACTACCGAACACAGTACTTGTTAAATTACATTTTTTTAGAAGATAAGATATAGAAAGCACAAATAAACATCAAACAAAACCTGCTTCGGTGTACGTCAGCATTTTCTAGAGTAAGGCCATTCACTTTAACCAAGATCTTAGGTTGATACACAGTGCTGCTCATAAATGATAACATCAGCAAGCAAATCACACTTCCTTTTTTGACCTGCAGCATTCAGCATTTACCTGAAATGTTGAGAACAAAATGACAGAAAATGCTGAGACTGCGTACGCTCATTTGCACTTTTCATTAGAAATCTGAGCACAAAAATATGCTTGTTTTCATGTTAAAAGGTATGGCCTGGGGTTTGTCTCACTGAGGGTCTGGGTTGGTCTTGGGTGACGGTGCTGTTGAAACCACCACTGTAGAAACTGTAGATTTGGGAGAGCTGGCAGCTGTGCGCTGTAACTGCTGGGCCGGAACCGTCTGGATTCGAACCTAGGGTGTAGACACACAATTGGTTAACTCGCAAGGCTTGCAGGACCAGTTTATTCATTTGTTTGGTTGGTGATGAGTCAACCTGTGTGGCCTGTCCTTGCTGCTGGAGCTGCTGAAGTTGCTGAGCTGTGACAAAACTGACAGGCTTGTTCCCAGCAATCAACTTGGTGCCCGCAGGCATTGTAGTCAAGATAATGTTCCTGCCAAGATTGCTGATACTAAAAAAAAAACCAGAACACATATTTGACAATTCAACAATTCAGCTGATAACAAATGTTGAAATGACATATGAGGAGACTGAATGGCTCACTTGGTGCTGATGTTCCCTTTGAGGATGGGGGTGGTGACCACACTCTTATTTTTTAAAGGCTGGCTGAGGACGGAGAGAGGCACCGTGATCCTCGTTGGAAGCTTGCCCTGAAAAGACCAAGATTACAGTTTAGACATTATGACGGTGATTTGAATAAGAGATAGTGGCCTAGTGAACTAATCTTCCTGTCTAATGTATTAATAGGCTATTAATAATTGTTTTGGTAATGCTTTGAATTAAATTAAGAGACCACTCGAAAATTTTCTTGATTTAAAGGATGCTATTGGTTCGAGTAAAATATTAATATTTGGTTGTCATCTAAAGCATTACAATAGTTAAAAGAATTGTATTTAAAGCATTTTCCCCCAGAAAATGATAACTGATCAGGATTACAAATGATTTACTGTGATGTTGTGATTCAAAATATAACAGCACTTGCAGTTAATTATTATCGCAAAGTATTTAACAATGTTATTATTGAGTAAAGTGTATTATATTATTAATATTTAAGTGTAATATAATGTATTATAATGTTAAAATGAGTTACTAAATAAGTCAATTGCTATTTTGGGCTTTCCGCCTGGATTTGCCAACCCAAATTTAAAAGCTTCCCAAATCCACATGCAGAAGTATAAATGCAAAAGTGTGGTATCATTTTAAGTTTTCCCTTTGAGTTTTCATAAAACACTGTTACAAGAGATTAAAATAACTGTATTTGTTGTCTGTGTTATAATCCCTCCAAAAACATAAATCATATATCCACCCAAAATTATTATTCCATTTCAACTGATGAAAAAACTAAAACATTTATGGGGGAATTGGGCCAGTATGGACCTTTAAAATAAAAAAAAATGTGGAAGTAAATGATGTCATGGACCCGGTACCGGGAACAGAGTTTATTAACTTCACAAATCCTTTAAAACTGACAATAAACATAAAAAAAAACATTAAATCTTGTTAACTTTGAATAACTTGTAAAACTTAAAACAAAACGCAGATAATTTGGGTTTACTTGCTTTAGTAAGTTAGAGTAACATATAAAACAATGTCAACACTATTCAATCACATTTTTATGATTTAATATTTTAATACGATCTTATAAATTAAGTATATTAAGTTTATTTCTTTACCTTTTATAGTAAATTTATATTTTGAACAAAATTTAACAATTTACAGTAATGTTACAGAAATATTATTTGATAATGTTAAATACGAGATGAGTAATTCCAGCGTTTGGATGTGACATTTGCAGTAAAAACTCAAAACATAAATTCACATACAAAGTATACGTTACCATATTGAAACAACTGTTTATATTTTCCAAAACAACTGACCACAGAGTTATGGGAGCAGAAAAATATTAATCTATAAATATATTTTATATTTTAAATAAGAAAAATAAACATGCGTTACGGATGGGACCAAAAAAGTCTGCAAGTGTACAGTACACAACATACTTTATAGAAATTCTGTGAATTAAACTGCACAACTTAAAAATAATAATGCTAATCAAAAGAATAAGAGTTGGCGCACTGTAGTATAAAAATAATTTATTTTATTTTATTTAACATTTTTGCATTGATGAGGAAAAAGCTTTGTTATGGACGTGACACTGCTGTTATGGATGTGACAGATGTGAAATTGCTACTTGTGTGACTTTGGTAAATCAAATATAATAGTTTGAAAACACAACAGAGATATTTTTAAGTATATTTAAAGTACTGTAAAATACTTACTTTAAAAATGTAGAAACGGTTTCTCTATTTTGGTGAAAACCTAATTTTGGCATTTGCGTAGAATTGCTCATATATTACTATTTTAGATATTGTTAAAAAAGAAACAATTGAAAATGTTTTAAGGGCATTTAGTAATTGTAGTTAATTTCCCCACTCACTACTGTATTGTTACATGTCAAAAGTTGAATGACTCAACAACAGTTTATGCACCATGACCTAACAGGAACATTAATATTTTTATTACCTAACATTTACAAAGGTTAATAAGGGCTATAAAGTAATACTGCTCTGTTTTATGTGTGTTAATGCATTAACTATAGTTACCAAATGATAGTATATAGTAAAGTGTTACATTTATTTTATTATGCTTTTCTATGCATCAAATCAGGATGTTTAAAGCATTTCTGAAGCATCATTTCACATATAAAACTGGAGCAATGATGCTAAAAATTAATCTTTGCCATCACAGGAATAGATTACAATATAAAGGTTGAAATAATGTTTTTATTGTATGCAAAAGTTTTTATTATATTTTTCATAACATTTGTTTAAGTAGTTCACCCAAAAAATAAATTTTTCATTATTTACTTACCCTTTACTTGTTCCAAACCAGTATGTTTTGTTCTGTTGAACATGGAAGAAGATATATTTAAGAAGATTGGAATCCTGTAACCGTTGACTTCCATACTTCCATGTTAGTTTTTCAGACTATAAAGGTCAATGGTTACAGGTTTTCAACGTTCTTCAAACCATCTTCTTTTGTGCTCAACAGAATCAACAAATTTGTCATTTTTGAGTGTGCTATCCCTTTAAAATGCTTTATTTACCAACTTTCAAATTTAAAATAAATGGTTTCAAAAACATTATGTGATGGGTCTAAAACATCTGTAATGCTATTGTAAAGTTATTAATTTCAAAAGAAATCTAGGAAATAAATTATACTACTTTTTATTACACTAAAAGTTAAACTCACAGTTTGTGTGGTGACGACAGTAGCGCTGACCGGCACCTGTCTGACCGTAGCAGCAGCGGTGCCCAGTGAAAGGGTAGATCCTGTGCCAGCGGTGCCCAGCGTTACACCTTTGGCCCCTGCCACTCCACTGGTAGCGATGGTAACAGTGGCCGCGCCTGATGACACGGTGATAGGCTTCGTACTAGTGGTTGTAGTGGCGATTGAGACAGCCTGGCCTTGTTTCTGAGGGATGACACCAAGGTTTGGCACTATCCGAATAGTGGTGCCTGCTTTAGAGTCAGACGAGGTGACGGTTGAGAACGTGCGGGCCTTTGAATCAGCCATAGTGACTGCTAAAGCGGGCATGAGTCGGATGGCTGTGTCGCAGGCGGTCTTTAATTCAGGGTGAACCTTCACTAGGGTTGCCGGTGTTTTGACTGCCAGGTTTTCAGATGCAGTGGTGCTGGAGGTGGGTGGTGAAGGCTGAGGTTGAGACACATGTAACGTCGCAGAGATGCTTTTGCTGCCTGAGCTTGTGGCGCTGCTCAGCATGTCTGGAGTGAGTTTGACTGTGGCCACTGGAGATTTGGTGAGTGTGGCCATCATGTCTGGAGTGATGCGAAGCACTGTTTGACCTTTGGCATCTGTGGTGATTGAGGAAGGGGGAAGGCGGAGCACATCTTTGCCTTGAATGCGTAGGTTAGTGGCGGTGAGCGGGATTCCTGCTCCGCTCTGGGTTTTTACACCCAGCTGACCAGTGATCGCAACCTGGGTGAAACAGAAGTGAGATTTGATGTGGAAATGATACACTGATACATTCTAAGTGATAATTATTAGTATGTTATGAGCAATAATTGAGAAAGGACAAATCGTATATAGATATTTAATGTATGTACTGTATGTACACGAACCGGCCACTTTCCAACTGCTCGTTAACACAAATTTCTAATCAGCCAATCAATGCATTTAGGCATGAAGACATTATCAAGACAATCTACTGCAATTCATCCCGAGCATCAGAATGGGGATGAAAGGTGATTTAAGTGACTTTGGACGTGGCATGGTAGTTGGTGCCAGATGGGCTGGTCTGAGTTTTTCAGAAACTGCTGATCTCTAGGGTTTACAGAGAATGATCCGAAAAAGAGAAAAATATCCAGTGAGCGGCAGTTCTGTGGGCACAAATGCCTTGTTGATGCCAGAAATCAGAGGAGAATGGTCAGACAGGTTTAAGCTGATAGAAAGGCAACAGTAACTCAAATAACCACTTGTTACAACTGAGGTATGCAGAAGAGCTTCACTGAACACACAACATGTCGAACCTTGAGGCGATGCCACTCATGTCAGCTAAGAACAGGAAACTGAGGCTACAGTTCACACAGGCTCACCAAAATTAAACATTAGAAAATTGGAAAAAAGTTGTCTGGACTGATGAGTTTCGATTTCTCCTGCGACATTCGGATGGTAGGGTCAAAATTTGACGTCAACAACATGAGAGCATAGATCCATCCAGCCTAGTATCAACGATTCAGGCTGGTGTTGGTGGTGTAATGGTGTGGAGGATATTTTCTTGGCACACTTTGGGCCCATTAGAACCAACTGAGCACCGT